TAATTTAGTTCTGAATCATTCTTGATGCTTTTTTTTCAATGTTAAATGACAACACGAGAATAACTGTTCTAGAAATTTATTATTTTAATTATATTTAATGACTGTTAATAACAGAATAACATCTAATTATACAAATTAATTTAGTTTAAAGTATAGTAATTAGATAGATTACATCTGTTAAGATATTGACCCTCTTTCTAGTAACACAGAAAAATCCCTTTTCGACTTTAGTAAAAAATATTTTATGCTCTTTTTCTACTAATGAATAAGGACATGTTCAAATTAGACTAAGATATTAGTTTCACTGTTTATCTTTAAGTCTTATTTTTCATGTAAAACTACAGATCATTTACGTTAAATTCATTCCAAGATTGTATTTGTAAACCGCTAAAGAAAATATCACTTTAAAAAAGAAAAAAATAGATTAAAAAAGAACCAATTACAGGAATTACATTTACTAATTATCACTTTATAAATTCTTTTATTTATTTTTTTTAATGTATTTGATGGATGTAACAACAATGGATTATTGTTAGATCCATCAATTATATGAACGGATCTAACGATTTATCAATGGATTATAAATTCCTAGAAAAGAAAGTAGGCCTATTACAAGGATTTTCTTTGATTCTTCTTCTGCTACCGTAGGAAAAAAAAAGCGATAAATTCTTTTTCATCTAATTGCAAAAGCAAAATTAATTATTAGTTTTTTCTTTCTCTATAAAGAGTAAACTTAGAGGTTTCTTATATTTTAATCACGTTTAAAAGAATTATATTTTTAGCATTAATAATCTGTAAAAAAAAATTAATTAAAATCTACATTATAAATGAAGAATAAAAATTCATTAAAATTTATAATTATAGGATTAATTATATGAAAGTTTATATCGATTTTTTAACTTTAGTATAGTATAATGGAATTTAATTTTAATAAAAAAAATTATCTTATTTTTAATTTCAGTTACTGTCGACTGTCATAATGATCCTGAAAATATAATTGTGACTATAGATACAGATATACCATTTTTGGGTCTTGCATATGTTACTTCTAAGTATAATGATCCTAGATGTGTGATACATGGTCATGGTAACAATACAACTAAACTTAAGATACCATTTTTAGGATGCAATACTTCAAAAGTAAATTATCTTCCTTTGCTATAATAGTACTTTTATTTATGTTGCTATTATTTATTTATTTTATTATATATATATATTTTTTTACAGAAAGATACAGGATTATTTATGAATAGAATAACTATTCAACAACATCCATTGATTGTTAGTTCTGGAGATGGAGAGTATGAAGTAGGATGTAAAATGTATTCTGGAGATATACAAATTGATAGCGGAAATAATATGGAAGTCACGTAAGTCGGCCGTTTACTTATAGCTAGGAAGTTCAACTGAAACAATTATATTTGATGTTAACATAAAATAAAAAAGGCGATAAAAGTGTAGTAACAAAGGACTTCATAAAGTTGCAGCTGTGTAGCAGGTTCACAAAGTCTGAGAGACATTGATTGAGTTTAAACAGTAAATTTTTTTAAGATATAAATAATTAAACTATATAGAAATAGTCGGAGAAAATAAAATAATGAACACAGCTTCGAATAATATTAATTATAATTGTTACTATAGCCTATATAATATTATTCAGTCAGGAAGAAAACACATGTAATACTATAAATCTTATATATAAAACTATATCAAATATTTTAAATATAATTTTACATTAAAAAAATTGAAGAAATCCATCTTTTTTGTGTGAATTTCTATTTTTTTAAAGAATTTTACAGTTCGAAAATCAGATATTACAATTCATTAATACAAGGAAATTCACTCGAAATATAAAAAAATAATTTAAATATTCGTTTAATTATTTCTATTGCAAAATTTATCACAAATTACATTTGAAAATTAAGCTTATAATTAATATATGTTTCATATTTTTACGAAAACTTTTAATTAACGTAAAGGTTAAATACTGATATTAAACTTTATTATAAAGTTTGATAAATTAATAAATTATATAAGCTGACTTGTATAATTTATTTACTTATTATAATTACTTCCTTGTCGATTAGATTTTGATAACATCATAAATTTTGAATATAAAATTAATTTTTAAAAATTTAATCGTTTAAATATTCTCTCTTTCCGGAAATTTATAAATCGTAATGTATTTATTATGTGTATTTTTTTTTTAAATTTAAAGGTTTTTGAAGGAACTAAAAGATCTTCGTTCGATATAAGTGTTTGCATGATGATTGTATTTGTACGTATTTCAAAATTTATGATTATTTGCGACTTATTTTTAATAACATTGGAAGATTTCTCGCCAATAATCATAAATTTTAATTAAAAATACATCTAGGTATTACTTACAAATAAGATTATTTACAAATATACACACGTTATAAAATAGTTAGCTAAGTAATATACCTATATACTTGTACACTAATTTATATCACATCAGTACATTGAAATATATAAAATAATATGCCAATGTTAATATATTTAAGAATTAGATAAAGTATTACTGGAATGGAGAATCAAATAATTTTAACAGCTGACCAAAATTTAATTAATAAATAGCTTAAATAATTGCATTAATATAAGTTAAATTATGCACTTGTCATCAGCTATATTTACACATTTTGATTAACTATTTAACTAGTACTTTTGTTTAACTAGGTCTTTATTCTCATTAATCATTCAGGATAATTTACTATCATGTAAATTAGTTTATGTTTTATTATTTTTTTTATTGTAAAATGTTCTTACGACTTTTTAATATATTATCGGAATTTTATCGAAAGATTTTTATTTTTGATTAACGAATAACGACTTAATTTACTTTGTGTGTTAACGTAATAAAGTACAAATTTAATTTAATATCATTTTCACGAAACTTAATTTTACTTTAATATATTTACTGTAGATTTTTTGGAGACTGATCACTTGACTCTAAACAAACATTACTTACATACTATAATAATACATAGACCAGGAGGAGTTGGGGATTTTTCTCCAGGCCCGTGAAAAGGTCCTATCCCTATAAATTAACGTTAATTTATAGGGGTAGAGCCACTACGAGATGGCAAGATTTGAAGGCTTTTATAAAAAAAAAAAAAAAAAAAACCATTCGTGCTTTTCCAGCAATAACTTTAATCACAATAAATGTTTTCGGTCAATTTNAAAAAAAAAAAAAAAAAAAAAAAAAAAAATGTTTATTCTGTACAACAAGAATTAATTTCATGTTTTTAAGATGGACAGTTACTTATTTCGATAAAACTAATAAAACATTCTTAATTTAAAGGATTTTTAACTATATTTTATGTATTTTATCTATCAATAAGTAAGCTAAACAATCTTCAGCTTAAAGTCTCTCACTAGCAAGCTATAATTTAGGGCTGACGCTTCTAAATTTAATATTTGGCAGAGGGAAAGGCCTCTTATAGTTTATGGCTATAACAAGTCTAAATCCGGTCCTGTCGATGAGGCTATCAAATATGTAAGGAATGCCAACGATGATGCGTGAGAGCTGAATACAATTATATTGCCATCTGCACGCAGAAACGATTACTGCATAGCATTTAAAAACGTGCATAAATAAGATTCTTGCCAACTTTTTATTGATATTTGAATAATAATGAATAATCTTGGTATGGAAATAAATATAAATAGAATAAATATGACATAAAATTTATATTATATATATATAAATTAATAAAGTAGACAGGCCTACAGAATTTATTATATACTGAGCTTTCGAGATCTTGTATGACTACAGCAAGCCTCTTCCCCCCTTTTTTTTGAATAATTGAAACACGTAAATGCTTTTTATTAATAAAAAGAAGTATTAAAGATTTTATTTTCTGATATTTTTACTAATATTAATCTTATAGAGTGTAGTAAACTATTCGGGCCTATGGAAAAATTCTCAACTCCCCTTTTAAAGCACTGACAAAATAAAATTATTTGATTTATTAA